TCTTTTGGAAAAGCATCCTTCTATTATAAATAATCATCATACCTTTCAAAAAAAAATCAAGATTTTTGAATCATTTAATTCTGTTTTTCCGATATTTTTCAAAATGTTCAATTCATTCTTTTATCTATTTCCAATCTTTCCTATTCTCGTGAGAATTGATGAATAAATAAGAATAAATTCATGAAAATATTTTAGGAAAAGAAATATGGATAAATAATAGAATAATTTAAGAAAATATATATATATATCGTAATTCAAAATTCCAAAATTACGAATCATTTTTTTCATATCTTCAAATATATCTTCTGCTTGAATATCTATAAGAGAAAAATCCTTATCAATTAAACGAAGAATATCAATATTCCATTTCTATTTTTCAATTGAGATTGAAAAGAAAAGAATATATTTCTCATTTAGAAATTTAATATATTCGAAAGAATTTTTTTGAAATCAAAAAATCATTTAAATCTATCAATATTCCTTCTATATTCAAAATTATTCTATCTATCTAGAATTCTTTCTTTTCATTTCTATAGATTTAATTATCTTATATTCTCTTTTATTTGGAATTTCTATTTCTTATTTTCTATTTAGAATTAATCACTGCTTACAACAACACATCAACGGAAAATATTTATCTAATAATATCCATGACGAGAAATCCCATGAATAAATATAATATAATTTCGTACGTACAACCCGATGAATTATCAATATAGAAAATCGCACTTGATCTGTTGATTCTGAAAGAATTTAGATCTTCGTAGCAGGTCTATATCTTCCGCCGAATCGCCGGCTCAAATAATCAAAGAGAGAGGAATAATTCGAATTCTTGAGAGATTTTGGATCGCATGACCCCCGCGTCCTGCCCGGTCTTTCCGCCTCATCCATCTCTGGAAGTTGTCTATATTGAACGAAATTCGGCAGAATGCATAAAATCCCGCAGATAGATACGGTCGATCCCATAAATTCTGAAAAATTTAGATTCTCCGTCCCGGATCTGTGCGCTCCAACGAACCAGCCGCACTGACAAGCAAAAAGAAATAAATCTCATAGATCTTATAAGGTTGCACATACAACGCGATTCAATCAATATGTAAATACGCACGTAGCCAAAAAAATGACCAGCCTAATAAATTCGGAAAGATTTTGATTCTAAATCCCGGCTTCGTATGTTCTATTGAGCGATCGCACAATTAATCAAAAAGAAATAATCTCATAGAAAATCATTCTAGAAATAAAAATAGCGAATAAAATTCTCCGAGAGTCTTTTTCATCCCGCCAATACCAAAAATCTTGAAAATTTTAGCGTCTCTTTCTTCCGAAGGATTCTAAATCCCTCGAGATTTAGGATCCCTGAGAACCTATAGGAAATATTTTAGAAAAGAATCGGAAAAATTAAGCCGTCTACGAAAGAAATAACCACAAATTCTCGCGCCTAATATTGAAATATTCTTTTCATTAATATATATCTTTCCGATATCGGCGAAATTTGAAAGATTCAAATATCTCGATTTCAAAAATTATATTATTCATTCCAAAAGAAATCGGACTCAAGATCAATATAATTCTAGATATATATCTTAAATTTTACGAATCCGAAGAATTCATATTTCATTTTTAGAAATCCTTATTAGAAAATCATCTAATTCATCCTTAGCCCCCTATTCATTTCTAAGATCAGATATATGAATAATTCTGAGAATCATTCTAAATTTTCAAGAAATAATTTCAATCTATTTTTTATAGAAAATATACGATCTTTTTCCCTTATCTATATATCCCTCAATACGAAATTTAGAATCATCTAAAAAGATAAGACCCCAAATCTTCCTCATTAATAACAATAATAAATCCCTGAATTTACTTCTTGGAAATTTCTCAATAAATAAGGCAAAAACTCTCAGACACTATTTCTTAACCTTTCCATATATCTTTAATTATCTAATATCCAAAAATCTACCTCAATCCTATACTCTTCAATTCGTAGATTAATCTCTTAATTAAAATCCGCGCCTTGACCTCAGAGCCTTCAATACGTTAATATTTTAATCCTATTTTAACAGATCAGGCCTAAATCCTTCTTTATTACTACCAAAATCCTATTTTCATCTCTTAGACTCTTTTCATCAAATAAAATCAAATCCTCAAATGTTGACCCTATATCTTTCAATACGGGTTTAATTAAACGAGAAATCCGGCGAAGTGAAAAGAAAGAAATCTCAATATTAGGCATCCAATATGCTACTATAGAAACATCCAATATATGAAATCTTCCCTGAATCCTTCAATTCATTTCTTAATCAAATCCCTCGCCCCTTAGCCCTATATCAGTAAATATATTGAAATCCTCTACTCGTATATAATCTAATTCGCAAAGCCACAAGGGATTAAATTTATCGATATATTTTTTAAGAAGCTCTTTAAATTCATCAAAATTTCCTCCCTTACCCATACATCCTTATATGCTTGGTGATTTTAATCTATTCAATATTCAAATGAAAAACCTCGGCTCTCTTGAGCCCTCTAACCCCTAAAATTATAAAATCAATTATAACATTTTCTTAGACAAACGACTAGCTCATAGAACGTACGAAAGCACGCAAGCACGTAAATGACACGAAATATTATAATTTTCTTAAACGTATTTCAAGAGCAACGATGCTTCAGAACGTGAATATCAAGAATTTTAATTACGAAACCATACGATTCTTGTATTAGAATCTACATACCGAAATCAATAATTCAAATATTAAGATTTTCTTTAGAAATATCGTTAAATAAATTATATATAGATAATATTTCTTTTTTCGATTTGATTATAATCTCTATATATATATATTCTATAAAAAATAATCTTCGCTAATTCATGATATAACTTCCAAATCTGAGAAGGTAGGACCTTTTTCCTATTTTACGAGAGTATCATAGAAGAGATGATATTATCAAGAATATTTCTAAGAGTTCTAGGGCGCGCACGAAAAATATATTTCCGATATTTTGGAGAATTAATATGAATGAGAATAGATCTTTTCCAAACGAAGCTTTATACACAGGATTTATTTTTTCAGGAGCCAATGCATTAGACCACATATAATTTCGTCTTGATCATCATTATCTTGTTCCCGACTTTCCCTATTGATCCCTTCCCAAATTTATCGGCTCCCCCTTTGGCTATGGGTACTGATATTACCCAGGACGATAGTATGGGATTATCTGCTGGTATTGCCCCAGTTGGAGGACCGCCTAAGCCCGTGAAGACCGACATCGACGCGATCCCGGCCGATTTGTTCGGGCTGGAGATTGGGAAGGAGTTTGTTGGAAGCATTGGTCCTGCAGGGCCCGATCCTCGTTATTATCCAGTGAAGCGATACTTCTGTCATCGAACGCAGGGTGGGAGGCCCTGAAAATATCCTCGTTCATGCCGATTGGCACCTTGCCGGCGAATTGCCGGGAAGGCCGCGAGCTTCCTGTTTTGAGGAGAGAAGTCTGGGAATCTGCCGTGGGCATGGCTTGTCAGCTTCTAAGCGTGTTTATCAGGGATTCATTCTAGAGATATGCTTCGGCAACTTGCCGCTTCATCCCCCTCTATTCCAAGTGCCAGGGGCGACCTGTCCCTCCCGGATTTCGAGGAGATTTGGGCGATTCCCATATTTGCCAAAGAAGCAAATTAGTGGCTAAGATTGAGGGTAGACCGCGGGCAAGACGATGATACACTTGACCCAGGCGTGCATGGATTCGTTTACTGCTGCACGATTGCCGTAGGCATCGTGACGCTACTTAGCTTGTATATGGAAACACAATATCTATTTTACAAATTATGAACTGAGTTTATAACATGATTTAGAAGATTGAGACCTCCCCATATGAAATATCTTGACACTTGATTTCAAATTTCACTTCCAATAAATGATAATTTGGTCAGCAAAACACGCAGGTTTGTCGCATGTCTTGAAGGTGATATCTTCACTGTCAATGGTTATGATCACATGAATTCATGCCAGCACAACTCCAAGGTCCCCTTCCCTGGTTGAAGGTGTCATTCAGCATACCTTACCTGCCCACGACAGGGGTGGCATTGGGTTAGGAGTTTTCGAGGAACATGAGGCTGGGAACCAGCAATTTAACGCATGAGCCTTACTGTAGCTTTGCCCAGAAGGACCTTTCCCGACATCCCGTAAATCCAGAACCCTCAGCCTTCAAACAGGACTCACGATTTATCGCCTGAATTGTTTTTCCTCTGGCCATGCCAGGCTCAGAGCTTCCAGCTACCATTGTCTCAAGAGATTGGCAATTTCCATGTGCGTCCCGGTGAGGCATTTAAAGCTTATACTTCTGGCAGTAGTCTTGGGCTCCATCACTGCTATGTGACACAGTTTGGAAGTTGTTTGTTGAAGAGGGCTCCTTTACAGTCATTTTCATATAGCAGCTTCGCTTGTCGACCTTTGTTGCCGTTGTTGATGTGTCAAGGGACTTAGCCCAATCTTGCACATAGGCACCTACCAAATGGTCCTGTGCCCAGTTGACGGAAGAGCTTTGCAGTTTCAAGCTTTGGATTCAAAACTCAGGGTGGGAGCTCCTACATGCATTTACCTTTCCATATCTTTCCCATTCTGTCCGGCATTGTTGTGTGCACTTGTACTCTTTTCCCAGTGAGTTGAGCCAAGCTAGAATACGTGGGCCCAACATTTAAATCACCATCCACTGGTTTAAATTTATCCTCCTTGAGGGAGTGACAGCGTCGGTCGTTTGAAAGTTTCACAATGTTGCATCCGGGCAATAAGTGTTTACGTCCCTCCGCAAGGCCAACTTCACAAGGCGGTTGCCAAACCAAACGGTGCAAATTCAACGCTACAGCTTTCGGGTTCTCTGGGCTGCACAGGAGGGAAACCAGAGAAGAACACGAGTTCTCGAACAAAATAATCAGAAGGGCCTTTTTGCAAACTAGCGAATTGTCGCCCGAAGAAGAAACCGCCAATCTTGGACTCATGCAAGATGTCTCAGGAAGATCCATATCCCAGGCGCTGCTGATACTCCTGGACAGTATGCAAGCATGATCTTGCTATCGATGTGCTCTTTGGTTGTGCTGTCACGCTTCCTGCAGCTCTAACACATGCAACAATTAGTCTTGACAATGCCATTCCGATTCTTTGTCTACTGCTGCTGCTACCCACTACTGGCATGCTCCTCTTTCTTCTGTGCCTCAGAACGGTAATTACAAGTAGCAAAAATACTTTTGCAACTGTTGCTATCTCCAATGTTGCTGTCAGCGTGGGCGCTTGTGCAGCGCGAGGAAATTCATTTCATGTTGAGGACTGCAGCGAAAAGAGTTGAAGCCTTTAGGTACTCGTTTGCTTACTTCAAGGAAGGAGTCGAATGGGATGTTGAATGGAAGGCTTTGCCACAGGCTGGTCATGGTCTAGAGTCTAGGGTGTATGGAGCGGCTGTCCTTGATCTTTGAATAAACGTTCGTGAGCGATGGCAATACGGACCAGGCTTCTTCCTCACAGATTTTGTCGTTGGTGTGAATCTGCTTGTACGGGCCTGTGACACGATTGAGGTCCTCCTTCTGTGCTTCCTCCAGCATCTGACTTTGCTCTGCATGTGTGATTAGATCTCCGAACAAGAAATCAGCTATCTGCCCCATGGCGTAGTCGAAGTTCTCGGAATTGCGGGCGATGTTTTCGTAACGGAGAACCAGCGTATCATTGCCAGCAATCTCCACGGACTCAGTCCTCCAACGCCCCCTAGATTCGTTTCGTTTGGGTACAGGGGTCAAAGGCAGAGGCGATTTTGTGGCTAAGAGCCGCCTAGAATTAAAGAAAATATTCTGCAACCTGGAAAGCAAGGTTTTGGTTTAAGTTGCGACTTCAATCCTAAGAGTCTAGAGCCTCAAACTTAAACGCTGCTTAGGTTTCAAGACGTGCAGCAAAATTCTCCTAAAAGGGAATACGGCTACAGCTGCTAGTTTCAATATGAGCTACAATCAATATCTTTCCTACATAACTTAATGGACATGGGTTCCTTATTAGGGACGACTTAATGGAGTGTACTAGACTACAAAAGGGACCCCAACATCCACTGTTAAGGTCCCGTAATAAGGCTAATATCATGAGAGTAGCTCAAATGTCTACAGCACCCCTGCCTCCTGCACATACTCACCTAAACATTGTCACTATACAGGGTAACATTTCTTGATGGGCTGGGCTTTTGGAAAATGTTGCAGGCTAGGCAAAGCAAGTAATTGAGCTTGAGATGTTTGAAATCCAGGCCTCTAAGCAAATAGCAAGGTTTTAGGGATTAGGTGCCCTAAAGCTGAGCTCTTGGCTTTTCAGGGTTTCTAGGCAAATAATGAGGTTTTAGGAATTAGGTACGCTTAAGCTCTGACATTTGTTTATGAATGATGATTACTCATTGAAACTAGGTGTTTTATTGCTTCGAACCTCTAAAGTTACTTGTGTTGGCCCCCCAAACTTGACATTATAGCGGGTACCCCAAACATATCCCTGTCCTAAATAATCCCCCTGAAACTTGACATTAAAGCGGGTAGCCGCCCATAAGCGGGTGCGACATTAACAATATCCCAGCGTCATGCATTCCAGCACTCCAAACATGCCGTCAGCCAGTGATGCCATTCCCTCTGCTGGGCCCATGGACATGATGCCTGGGTAGATCTCGAATAGTTGGAGAACATAAGCAGCGTTGCGGCACATAGAGGTAATAAGACTGGACAATGCTGGCAGCATTGTCAGTAGAAGCAGCAGTAGTTGTGGCAGTGCAGCACGAGCAAGGCAGTAGGAGGAGGAACAGAAGCAGCAGCAGCAGTACTGCGCTGGCAGTAAGAAGAATGATAATTGTCACAGTAATGGTAGCAGGAGCAGCCCAGCACTAGCTACAGCAGCAGTCTTCAGTTTTCAGTAACATTAGCAACAGTACCCATACAAATGGTCGCAACTAACACTGCAAAATTTAGTATTCGGTCCCTAAGTCAGTATTATACAGAAGTGACAATACTCAAATCCCCCTGGCCAGCCAACAGACTGAAATTTAGGATTTCCAGCTTTAGTTGCCAACGTACGATTTCATTGCTGCAACCTATTCGTAAATTGGGGGTTCACGGGCGTGTTTTCATAAAGGGGTGATCATAACAAAAGACCCCGGCCCGAGAGTCCACAAAATCCTGGTTCGCATGAGATCAAATTAAGAGAATGCAAGCTCCTACTCTGAGAGAGCTCAAGCTCCAGAGGTTTTGTTACGACCACCAGTTTCCGGGACTTTGTTTCGAGAATTAGTCTGCCCGGAACTCTGGGGGTAGTTCTTAAAACGACGCTCACATTATGCACAATCCGAGAACTGGAAGTAAGTAGACTCACTAGACTGGGGGAAGAACATGGTGCGAGCCAATCAGAGGGACAGTCGCCACACACTGTCACACTCATTCCAATAAAGCAGTCAATCTTCAAATCCCATTGGCCTGTAAATCTAGAACTCTTGCGGATTTGTTCAGCCTAAGACTCTTGCACCTGCCACTTCCCTAGACAGGTTGGCTCTGCTACTCTGCAGCAAGGCGCTTGAACACTCAGTTATTACGGTGGACCCAAGGTCGCTGAGACCCATAGGCAATATATGATACGCGGCAGGGGGACCTGTTTCCTAAAAAGCCTGAAGGCTTGAGCAGTGAACTCCAGAAACACAACAAGAAGAGACAAGCAAAACTCAAGCAGCCTAAGCAGCTTGAAGCCCAGAACCCTATTCTGTCTTCACGTTTATCCTCACCTTCTACAACTTACTGTAGATACACAGCATTTGGACCCCGAGACGCTAGAGCCCTAAACTTGGAGATCTCTGCAAACTGTAGACAACTTAATAACGTGGTAACGCTCGCGCAGCCCCACGCAGCCCCTGCGGTTGCCAAAGCGGACCGTGAAAGTTTTGCTTCTGAAGTCACGCTGAGCGGCCCGGCCACGGCCAAGGCTGACGGCCCGGCGCTGGCTGTTTGCCGTACTCGTGGCCGCTGTGATGATAACAGTACGCCTTAGCCTTTCACCCCTAACAGGCTTTAGGGGGCGCAGTCTCGGGGTAGGTGCATAGGGTTCGGGTACTTATGCCCGGACCATGGCGCCGCTATAGTCATAACACCAGTTAGAAGCCAACGTAAACAAGCAATCGTTACAAGCAAACGTGCAAGTTTCGTAATAAATTAAGCCATAGCCCAGCACAAGTACCCTGAACCACTCAGTCAGCATTTTTGGAACTGCATGGGTTTGGGCTTTGGGCTAAAGGCTTCGAACCCAGGGTTCAGCGTGGGGGATGAAGTGGAGTCTTTGGTTGTTGATATGTAGAACGTTTAGGGATGCCGTGAACTTGAAAGGCCGTGTAAAGAAACGCTTCGCTCTCTGCAGTTAGTCGGATCTGCACTGCAAGGCTGAGTGAAAACACAACTTTACGCAACAACGACCCAGCCGCAGAAGCCAGCATCATGGCAGGGTCCCTGATCACAGTCACGGCGCGCATAGAATTTCTGGAGACGTTCCGGAGCTTCCTCTGGTCCATTCTCTGCTGGATCTTGCCAGCCCTTGAAACATTTATTGAAAGACCCTAAGAGCCCTGCAACAACTCCTGTCTTGTTGCTTTTTGGAAGGCTCCTGTGGGGGACCTTCTGCTCCAACCTTTACAGAAGAACTAGAAAGCGGCATGCGGCGAACTGAGGTAGCGACGCCAGCTGGCCATAAGCTTTGCACATGTGATTTTGTAGCAGTTCTCAAAATTGAAGCTCGTGCAGCACGGTATTCTCGCTTAATCCGGCCTCTTATGGCACCTATGGCTCTCTTTAATCTGCTCTATAGGAGACAAGAGCTTGCTACCTTACAATCCTGCAGGTGGCCTGCGCATCTCTTCACATCATACTAAGACAGGGGTATGCAAAATCATGCCAAATCTCAAACTGGAGCCAGTGATCTACTTCAATCAAATCAAATACCAATTGCTTTGGAATTGCCTTTTTTTGTTGTCCTGTTCGGATCTGATGAATATCCCACCCAGACCTAATGCCTCTAGAGACATCTTCAAATAATCCCATCACATCAGTCCTGAGGCTATCAGGGCACAGATCTTCGTCGAGCCAAATATGGGCTGTCGGGCTTTCCGAGCAGCTGTGCATTCCATCCGTGGTCAAGGGCCTGGATATTCTGGCGTTTTGCCATTTTAATGGTCAAGGCCTAAGGTTTAGGGTTACAGTCCCCTTGAGTAGATAGAACATGGGGCAAATCTGGATCTGATTAAACCATACCCGAAGCCATATTCTATCTACTTCATGGGGACTATATGGCTTTTGGACAGCTTCTGCGAGCAAAGCTGTCCATGGTAGCCCTAAACCTACATAAGCCCATAAGCCTAAATAAGCCTGATTTAAACTTTACCTTCAACATCCTTCTGCAACACGCTTGCTGAAGCGGGCAGGTGGACGAGAAACTGAACACTAAAGCTGCTTTAAATCAAAGCAGGCCCGCCAGCAACCCCAACCCTGAACTCGAAACTGCACATCCCTTGAGGTCACAGGCAATCTCACATGGACTAGCTGCCAGGAGTTTGTTGGATTGAGGGTTCACCCATATTGCGCGAGAAGAACGGGTTTTACCCCAAAATTCTGCGAGACTGTTGCTTTAATCCTGCTCACACTTAAAAAGACGGGATGCATAAATTCTGGGTCCAAAGGAACAGCTGCGGACAACTGTGATGTGGCTGTCAGGGGGCGTCATTAGCGTTTTTTGTTCCTCTGAAACCATGGTCATGGGACCTCTAGCGGGGAATCCTCACGCAGGCTGACCCGGCGGCTGGTTTGAAGTGTTCTCTCCCATGCCCCTACTGTAACATCTCTACGGTCTTGGTGATTGAAAGAAGGGGTTCCTGACAAATGCTGGGATGTCCCTTGGGTAGAGTCTCGGTGAGGCTCAGCATGCCTAAGTCTACCCTGCCGAAACAACCATGGAATCCCATTTAAGAGCAATTTAGGCCTTTCAGGGGACAACCGGTCTTCGTGGAGCTGTTTTTCGGGGTCCGTGGGTCGAGTAGGAGAAAACAGGAAACCAGGTTGGGCCCCGCATGTGTTCCAGCATAAGTTTCTCGGGGGAGTTTGACACGAGCAGCATTAGGCAAGTAACCGTATGCCATTACCTCTATTTGCAAACAACTCAAAGCACTGCGAAAACTAGTCCTGGCACGGCTTCCAATAATCCAGCGGCAACCTCGCTTGGCAGGAGTAGGTGGCACCCAGTACACGAAACATGCGCCTCATCACGGCGCCTGGGTCGGTTGCAGGTTTATGTGAAGATCATTTCAGAGCACATGAGGATTTCAGGGATGCATTCTTCGAGTGGATCTTTATAAGCACAGGCCGTAGCCTTCTGAACATGTAGGATTTCTCTGAAAATGGCCTAGCTGCCAAGAAGCACCGTTCCTGCCTTGTGGCTGGTCCCTACAAGGTACCAATAAACATCCCAGGGCTGGACTTTGGCAGCAACCTTCGCAGTCTCGACCCGTGTCTGCAGCATGTTCAGGCCGCCGCACTCAAGGCTTTGATCCAACTCCAGTGGCTGAGCAAAGCTGGAACAAACAGATCCATGGCCCTGGCTTCCAAGGCAAAAGCCTAGCCACAACGCCCAGGCTGGGCGCATTCAATGCATGGATGGCTCCCAGGTGGTCATGGTGAGATTTCCTTCCCTGGGCCAAAAGGAGCTCAGCATCACTGTGTTTCCTTCATGGCTGTCCCTGAACATCTAGGTTTGGGGTCTTCACAACAGCTATCATGACAGTTGTGGGATGGAAAACTCTTGACACGCAAGCATCAGTTCCAGATGCTCCTCAGACAACGCTGTACTCCAAGTAATTTCGAGACACGCCTCAAAGCCTGCCATACCTCTACAAGCAGTAAACCTAGAAGACACGCAGTAAGCCGTTCGGGGCATGAATTCAACAACCCCTACCGGTATGAGTATGTCATGATGTATATTTGACGGTTGCAGAACGGAAGAGACGATGGGCGAAAGCCATCCATCCATGCGCCCTCCGCTCGACCTCCTACACATGCTTTTTTGGTGGTGAGTTTTACAGCGCCTGAATCGCCAGAAGTACCGAGGAAAGAACCATGGCCTCAATAAACCTACATTTCGGCTCAAGGCTGTGAAGGCCGTGCTTATCATCTAATTACATTCAAACATGCCACAAAGGCGCGTGAGGCTCTTGCGGGCTTCGGGCTGCTGAATTGTGATAACAGGACGGTGCATGCTGGCAAGTTGCTAAACAGTCTGTCCATCCTAGGCCCAGCCAAGGCCCACAGATCGCGAGAGTGTTGTTCAGCTTGACTACAATAACAGCAAGTAGCACAGCTAAGGCCACGAAGACAACGGGAAGGTCACTGAGTGAGCCGAATACCCGTCCAATCTGTCCAGATGGGCCTTCACAGCCACGAAATGAAAGGGTACACTGTGCAGAAACCCTGCAATCGAGATGTAGTTGTGCAGCTGGGCATTGCTTGCCGTCACTTGCCTCACGATGTGTACAAGATCACGGCAGCCAGGAGCCGCTATCCCTGTCAGACCTATCAAGCGTGAAAAAAGGATCAATCGTTACGTGCCAGAACATGTCCAGACCCCAGGCATCCATTGACATGCAACTGGTCTGATAACGCAACAGATAACACATGTATAAGAACATGAAGCACTCTTTTTGCTGCGTGGAACCTGCACAAACTTCACAACTGAGTTCACTTGTTCGTGAAAGTTCTCTAATTTGGCAAGCTATAAGCATGTGGTCTGAGACCACCGTCGTTACCGCAACTTCTTCGATGCCTGGAACACGCCCATCAAGGACCGTGTAAGCCTGCAATCCGGTATGTTCTCGCAATCGAAGGCCCTTCCCGAGCTCCGGGCTGATAAGTTGCCAAGAAGGCTATGCTAAGCTGTTCCGGGCAGCAGACTGTGAGCCACAGTGGATACGGGCAAGCTAAGGACTCGGAAGGTTGCCGTCCGCACTTCTTCTTGTAGATTGCTTCAGGATTGTCAATTACACGCCGCAAGTGCCCTGACCCAGATCTCTAAGGTCCTGAACCAAAGACATCCGAGTGATTCCGTCTCGCAAAATGTTTCTTCTTGAGACTTGGCCTGCAGAGTTGATCATTGCTCCTTTGACATGCGCAGCAATTTTGAGGGTCTGGGAGTCTAGCGGGCTTATGATTGCGCTTCTTGAGCGTTCCCGGCGTTTTATTTCAATTCGCAGCCGGAGTGGTGGAAAGATTTGGGCACCCTTGGGCCAAAGCAATACACGCGCAAGTCTCATCCTTAGCGCCCCTGACCTAATTTGTAGTGGACAAGGAGATTGAAACATTCAACGCCTTGCAAGGTACAATTAAACCAAGTCATGTCACGGAGTCGTGGTAAAGTATAAAAAGTCCTTGAATTTGACGCTAGCGCTAAACCCGTAGTGTGCTAGGGCAGAATGCAGCACTCCTTTTCCTTATTGCAACCCCCGCAGCCGTGCTACGCGGCAGGACCAAGACAACCCCTTATTGAGGGCCCCTAGCACAACAAACCTACTGCGCCTCTGAGGAAGTTTATGCCCAACCAAGTACCTTTAAAGCATCGTAATAGGCCTGCCTGCTTGGAATAGGACATCACAGCATCAAGGTCCCTCAGAGGCATAGCCCACCAGATATGATTATCACACTATAGGATTCAAAGAGGCGCCTGACTATTTTGCGAAACTCAGAGTTCCACATTGCCGAGCATTCCACTCCTTCAGCTCAGAAACCGCCCATGTCAATTCGCAAGTTCCCCTTTGGGAAGTGCGAAGCGGCACTGCTTAGCACAAGGGCACCAAGTCGACTTGATGAGGAAGTGGAGCATTTGTGATGTTTCTCAGGCATGCTCTGCAATCAAATCGATTCTGGTGCCACCACGAACACGGGCACGCCTCTAAATCAGAATCCCCTCTAAGCCCCCGGTTCCCGTTCAGAAGTTTTTGCTTGGGCCATATCCACGCATCCACGACAAATAGTTCTAATTTGCTGGTGCCCTGGTGGTAATGCGTTCTGAACCTCCGACCGCATTTTGACGGCTCGTCGGCTTAAGTACCATTGAACGTGAAACGGACCTCTGCGCACCACCAAGAATTGTTTTCACAGCAGGAATCCTAAATAAATGTCACTGCGCTTCAGACGGGTGGAACCGTTCCTACATATTTACTGAGAACAATAAGCCTTCTCCAGAGAAGAAGCTGGAGCCGATGAATATCAACGCTTCAGGTGCGGCGCTGCGCTGGGATGCCGAATGCCCCAAACCCCAAACCGGAAGCATCATTACATCATTCTTAACATGCGCCAGTGACACAGGTGCTCTGCTCAAGTGCTCTTACTGCTTAGCATTCATTCTGGGTATGTACTGCTTAGCAAGAACTATGCAGCAGTGCTGACGCATCAACCTATCCGTTCTGATGACTCATCGACGATGACCTAGAAGAAATCCGAGACCAATTGCCAAATACTCAACCCGTCTCCTTGCAAGAAGCAAGCGCATTGGTTTAAACCATCAGGGTCTTAGTGCCTCAGGCTGTTGCAAAAACTGAAGGCATCGGAATGCTGGGGGCAAAGCCGTCTATCACAAGGTTTGACAGGAAGGGCAAAGAAGGCCCCAGCGCAGCAAGATCAAGGTTTTCCCTAGAGTTAAGGAATCAATCCCTGCAGCACTTCCTGTACAATAGTTGTACATGGGCTCTCTGCACAGCCACAGCATTCGGAGAACTGTGGATTTGAGACGACCCGGCTCGTTGCTGGCTGCAGCTTTGAACTCTCAACAATGCAGCCCCCAAATCATGAATGCCCCCGAATATCGCACCACTGTGTACTAGCAGGGGGAACGGTTGTTGTTAGTCGGGGTCGCTTTCCCTCCCGGGAAGCACTTACCGCCTGCTGGAAATTTGCCGCTCATGCGCATTTGTCCAGAAAGTCGGCGTAGGAACACTCCATCGACTTGATCTTCATGGAGCCGTGAGGTGCAAAGCCCTGCCTGGGCCAAACAAGTCTGCGACCCTGAAGCTTGAACGGCAACCGCTAAACCAATCAAGCCATGACAACTTCTATGCAAACACCCAGTGTATGCAGAGAGCAATGGTACTGATGGGTGGCTATGCTCGCACTTCGAGGGAACCCCTCCACATCAAGAGACAGCCGACGTCCAATTTTGCACTTACGCTGCATATTCCCGGGAGTCGGAAGGACATGGGGCTTTATTGAAGGAGGGCCTTGGGTTGACATTGGCTTGCTCTAAGAAAACTTATGTCCATCCATCATTTTTGTCACCTTTAGCCCCGATAGTAGTTGTGGTAGCTCGCGTCTGGGGAGTATGTAGCAGAGAGCCTAGAGGCCTAGAGCCCCGAACCGCGACATGTAGGTCTGTTACTACATGCCCGCGATTTAACCTACTAACCTCGCCGCTGTATGAAGCACATGTGCTCCTGATGCCTTATTCCTGGCCACGAGAAAGCATTGCGGTTGCGACTGCTCGGCCTTGTGATCTCATGCTAGGCAAGTGGCAAGCTGAATCGTTTGCCTTGTCCACCAGGGCAATTGATGTAAATGCTCCAGGGTCCTCGAGGCTTGCATGTGCATAACATCCAGTTCCTGGTAACTGTAACAATGAAAATACAAGCTGCCTCAACAATCATTCACAGTACTACAAATTATAAGCAATGGAAGTGCGGGCGCGATGTCTAGCCTTCAGGCTTTGAGCTTCGAAGAAATTGTTGACTTGATAGGGTCAGGCTTCTTTTGGCATTCAACTACCAGCTGGATCATCGATGATGATACCAGTTCAGAATGAGCAATGATTTCAGAATGAAATTGCAAGTCAGCGGAGTTGGTGAGTCCACTGCACCGCAAACTCCCACCAAAACTTCACGGACGTGACCACTACCAAGAGACGACAACATGGCCTCAAGAATTAGGCCAGGAGTTGCAGCTCATGCAACTTTTGGTCGTCGTCGCCGGCGTCGCCGATGGCGTAGCCGTCGTTGCAATGGTTGTGGTTGCGGTCGTCGTCGCTGCTGCCGTTGCTGCTGTCATTAAGTTCGGGGTGCCGCGGCTGCCGCTGCTGCGGCAGCAGGAGTTGCCGTAATCGTAACGATGGTGAGCCGGTTCTGCTGGTTTTGCCACTTGCGTGGCCAGGGTGCTGTGGTTTTAGTCGCCATGGTCATTGTAATTGCGGTAACCAACGTTTGTTCAGCAACAGCAGCAGCGCAAAGACCTCTAATCGCACAGTCTCTGGTCCCAACGATAGCAGGAACAAGAAGGCTGTGTATACTGATAAACAGCGAACAAAGAACCCACTGCTATGTGGCGGTGGCACAATGAAGCGAAGTCCTTACCAACCACAAAAAAGTTACTGGCCCGCCTTCTGATTTGGGCAAGTACGTCCACACATGTCGCTCACTGATCCGATGCTTTTCCACCCGTTTGCCCTCTCCATTGAAGATGAACCTTGGTCTTGTGGGCGGATGGAGTTTGGCTGCAGGAGGCGGCTTAATCATGAATGCAATATCCTTACCAGGCCCCATATAGGATTCGAGAACCGGAACCGAAGTTCACATCCTTGCAAAAGTTTGCGAAAGGGCTCAGGCTGTCACA